GCACTCACATGGCTGCACACACTCCAGCTTGTACACATGCACTCACACACAGCTGCACATATACTCCAGCTTGTACATACACATTCACATGGCTGCACACACACTCCAGCTTGTGTACACACACCTGAACGATACAAAGCCACAGCCCACCAGGGGTATAATAAACAGACACAGAATAATCTTCCAGTTCTTGGTGTCCCGGGAAATCTCTCCATACCATTGCTTGGAAAGAAAATTCTACAGGGAAACAGAGACAAACAAACAAACAAGCAAAAAAAAACAACCATAGATCCTTATTAATACAATTATGTGCAGGACACTACGCAAACTCTCTCCAGGCCCACACCCTCCCAAAAATATGTAGCTCTGAATTAAGGGCCTTATTCTTGTATAAGATTTCCATGGAGTCTAGGGGGCTATGATAAGACAATTTAAAATGCTACTTGATTTCAAGTCTTTTCCTGAATTGGGTTACATGGACTTTAAAACAGAGGTTGTGTGAGTCCAAATTCCAGGAACCTATGAATGTTTAACCAACTGTAGTTTTTGTTACGTAAGGCTAAACAATTATCTTTCTAGCTCCTTTCTCTGCAATGCTCCCTGCAGAATCCCCAAGGACTCATTCCGGAGGCCGACAGGTGATGCTTCTGTCGGAAAACTGAAAGGAAGTCAGGAAGGGAGAGGCAGTGGCTTCTTAATGTCACTTCCAGTGGGAATGCCTGAGAAAGCTTCCGGACTGTACCCATCCCTGAGGCTGGAACAGGAGGGGCTTCCCATGAAGGTGGAAATTAGAAAACTCACATCATCTCTAAGAGCTAAAGGGGTGAGCGCAGACCTGACCACAGCAGAGGAACTCAGCTTTCAAGAAAGTACCCGTCAAGCAGAAGGGAGTTGAGGTATTTTGGGAGCAGAGAAAAGGGAAAGCCTGGACCTTTCAGCTCTGGTTGACAGGGCTGAGTTTGGCATGTCCTGCCCACAGACAGGGCCCTGCCCTTCCGTGGAGGAGGATGGTGGCCACTCCCTCTGGCTCACGCCTCTGTCTGCCTGAGGCTACCACAGACTGGAATGTGCTTGGCCCTCAAAGGACAAGCTGGACCACTAGGAGCAGCCTTCATCAGGCAGCAAATTGCAGCTGGCGGCTAGACAGCCAGCTTCCTTGCACTCAGATGGGCAATGCTGGAGCAGGTTCCTAGAGATCCCTGGTGAGGTTGAGCCCAAGTTGCCCACAGTGGAAACTTCCGTATCTGCTCCTTCCCCATCCCTGGCTCATTGGCCTCCCCTCTGCCTCCTTGCATTTGAATCCCCGCTTTGTGGTCTCCTTCTTGTCCTGTCTCCCCCGACCCCCATCCCCACCAGGCCAGTGCTGCATGGCACTGTCACACAAATCAACAGCATCACGCTGGGTTCCATATCACCAGCAACTTCTAGTCCTGACTACAGGATCTCTGGTCTGGCGAGCTGGTCCCACAGGCTGGCAGTGAACATGATTATGTGAATTTTAGGTGAACATTAAGGACCTAGCATCTGAATAAAACAAGACTTGTGAACTTGGGCAGGAGCAGGAGTCAGGTTCCCCAAAACCCAAAGATCTGAGACACCTGCAAGGTGGAGGTTTGAGGCCTAAGAAGTCATGAGCAGCGTGTGGCCTGCCTTGGCAGCTGGCCGGCCTCTGGCGTACCTGCCACACACAGCACAGGCTCAGACAGCAGCTGTGGCTCTTTGGGGGTCCTTGTCACAGATCCCCAGGCTCATTCAACATAGCTTAGCAGCAGCAGCAACAAATGGATTTTGTTCATAAACACTTTGCTGCTTATTGGCTGATGAAATAATGGGCATAATGGATCATCAGCAAGGTAGACAATCGACATGGGGTCAAATCCCAACACTGCTTCTTCCTAACAGTACAAGCTGGAAGAACATTCCAGAACCTCTCTGAGCTCCTAGGTCCTCATAAGTGAAACGGACGACACGCCTGCAGGTGCTGTGAAGATGAAACACGACCACAGGTACCACAAGTGAGGCTGACAAGCGCCAGTCCGTCCACGTCTGTGTTCCCCACATACACCCCCACATTTCTACAGCCTTTGGAGAAAGGGCCCCCCACAGCTGGGACAGCAGGTGCAAACAGCTGCTCATTGAATTCAGCGCGGGGAACTTCTAGACTGATTTCAGGCACGTCACAATAATTTCCCTGTTGCTATTACTGTTACTAACTACTGAAGTGGTGACGGCACCTCTCACATATTAACTCATC